ATAAGCACAGTAATTTATGCATGATACAACATAAGTTTGTTATTCATGTAAATTTACCAACATATTATTATATTTTAAAACCTTTTGTTTTCAGCTTCAATGTGATTTATTGGAACTTCGAGATGCTCACGCAAAACTGCGTACAACCAATGAAAAGCTACGTAGAGAAAAAGAAAGATGGGACCGAGAAAGGGACGACTTGAGACAACTTGCTTCTGCTCGACGGCGAGCAGATAATGATGAAGATAGAAAAATACAGCTTCTCCTTGACCAGGTCAGTTTTAAATTCGCATACTGTATTTCTGTTGTTTTTCCTCCCTCATTGATATACTCAATTTGAGTTGAAATTTACTGCTGTTTTGTCTCTTTTGCTTCAACTCAGGTTGAAGAACTAATGAGACTGTCCCCAGATATGCTTTCCTACAGGCGTGGTTCTTCTCAAGCATTAGGGACTCCCACACCTCCAGTGCGACTAAAGGTACATTCAAGCTGACCAAAATTTTCACATATTTTGTAATTGGAGGATAACATCCATCTGTCACTTGATAACTGTGGTTTTAAATAAAAATGTTCTCTTTAGGGTCCTAAATCACGGGAATCTTCTCCTCTAACTGAAAGAAAGGACTACAGCAGAGGTGAGTATACAGAGAATATCTTAATTAAAATACATCCTTTTGTAGAACAAACGCTCAGTTTTTTTGTCTTAACAATTTCCAGAGCAATCTCAGTCACGAGATGATTCCAAGGGAAATATGCAGTCAACTCTCCAGCGCCTGATTGAGGTTACTGATGAGCTAAGAAGATATCAACGTGCAGATAGCCAAGATAGAGATAGGGAGAGAGCAAGACGAGTTCTGGGTATACGAAGGTATGTTCTAGTTTAACATCTAGCTTAGAAACTCTCTTACTCTACAATGTACAACAACTTAAAGCTTATTTGCTACGCAGGGCTGCATCTACTGAATCAGATACAGCAGCTGAAGTCCCAGCTGAAACTCGGAGCAAACCAAGTGTGGGAAGAGGAGGAGCTGGGCTTCAGAGGAAGGGTAGTTTATTGCGTAAGACACTCTCCCTAGAGCAAACCAGCAACGCTAATGAACAGGTGTGACTTTACTGATGTTAGATGGAAATTATTAATCTGAAATTACAATGCACATATTTTATAACAACAATTCTTTTCATAAATAGAATTTCTGGAAAGGAGATGATGAGGATGGAAGTGTCAATAGTTTACAAAGCTTAGATGATGACCCAAGATTAGCAATTAATAGAAGAGACAACAGCATGGACAGGTACTTATGTAGACTAAATATAATTTCAATATTGTTTGCTATCCTTGCCTAATACTTCTATGTATTTTATATAATCTATTTTTTTATCTTGTTATTAATTGTGTGCAAACCATCTGCCATGTCACCACCATCCAAAAATCTGTAAACTGCCCCTTAACATGAGCATTGCTCCTGGGGCCCATCAAATGTGAAATAAATAAAAAGTAAATAAATAAAAATAAAAATAAACACTTCCAGAGCTTATGATTGATCACCCCGAATGACCCCAGCCGTTGGTACCCGAGGACTCCACATCCGGACTGGAACAGTAAACGAGTCAAGGTCTCCCCGAGGGTGTCTGAGCGAGACTAGAATGTGTCCCTGTCTGTTTTCGTGGCCCGTTCGGGCGCCGCTGGCTGCTCAAGTGACCTTGTTAACGGAACGTGTTCCGATCTGCGGTCACTTTTGTGTTCGACTTTGGACTTTCACTGCCGCCGTCTGTCGACGCGTCCGTCAGGTCTGGTCAGGACGACCCCATAAAGTGCATCAGACTAAACCGGAGGCATTTAAGAGTAAATACATCGCTCGAAAACTCAATCAGTAACTCAACACTTTAACATTTCTAAAATATTCCAGAGATATTTTGAATCTAATATGCTAAATTGTCTCTGTACAATTATTTCCTTATGACCCTGCACTGAAAAACTAATATACCTGATTGAAAGTAATTTCGATACACTCGAAATCAAAGTTTACGAATGTCGATCCCCTACAGGTAAATTGTAAAGATTCGCACACCTGCATGCCTGCGAAAAATGTTCACGCACCTCCAGGTGTGTAACAATATTTTCACGCACGCGTATGAGTGAAAAGTGATTCATACAATTGTATCCTTTTATTCACCCCCAAATGTATAAATCTTCACACTCACCGTGCAGATGTGCGACATTCTTATACATGGATTTCCAGTGTATCGTCTTCATCCTGTAACTTGTTGAAAACTTTCTCAATTGGATACATATCGGTTACAAAACTGACGTTAGTATGTCAAAAATCGACTGTATTGGATTTTTTATTGAATTAAAAGAATTGTTTTCTAGGTGATGGGTTTAGTTTAATGCCGAAGTGTTATTAAAATGAACTAAAAACGAAAAATACAAATATAGGACTATGGCAAAATCAACGCTGTATCATGACTGCTGCTTGCTGCTTTCTTTACATTGGTTACTGTGGCGCAGGCTACCTCATTTTCACCGTCTTGTTAAAAGGTGTCGTCAAATCAGCTTACCAACATAATGGTACAGTGTTGGAAAATCGTATGATTGTTAGAAGTGCAATAGAGTGTTATTCTGCTACTCGCGATACATAGATAGACTAACATTAAAACGATTTATGTCGATTTTAGAAACACGGGCGGATCAAAACTTTAGATGAGAATGGTGATAGGAGGAGCGTGAGAGAGAACGTAGAGGAGATAGCGAATGGAAACAGCGGAGACACGGAGAGGAAAGAGAGAGAGAAGGGGACGAGGTGGGGTACGCGATGCAGCTGCGAAAGGGAGAGTGATGGAGGAGAAAGGAGAACGGGAGGCAAAGCGCGCGAATGTGTGCGAGCGAGAGAGGAGAGAGGGAGAGTGGAGGGGGCAGAGGTGGCGGGCGGGGGGCGGCGCGCAGGGGGAGGCCGCGGTCCGCAGAGCGGTTCTCGCTCAGTCCGGCGCGAGACCGCGAGTGGGGCGGTAGTTTCTAGCGGTGCGGGAGGTGTGTGTTCCATCGAGTGCTGCCCGATACACTGGATTACTGCTGGTGTGTGTGTGTGTGTGTGTGTGTGTGTGTTTGTCCGCGCGCGTGTGTGTGTGTCTGATCCCGTGTGATCCGTGCTTGTGTTTCCCCAATCGCGTTAACCGTCCCACAGATTCACGTGTGAATCACATTGGCGCCCTTAGGTGCAGTGTGCAAGTGTAACATAAAGTGATTGTGTCATTTTTTTTTTCGTTTTTGTTACAGTTTTGACTTTATTTAAGTTTTTATTTAATTTATTCGTCGAAACAAATGTTAAAAATGGGAATGCATCATCGTCGTCTGTGGAGCGCCGTCGCCGCGCTCGTGCTGCTGGCTTTTAATGGTGAGTTCGCACTTGCTTTTCTTTTCTTTTTTGCCGCGTAGACTACGTTCGGGCGTTTTGACAGGTGATGCGCGTCCGAGTGGTCCGACAGGTCGCGGCGACAGTCCACTCCGAATGGAAAGTGTAGAGCGCGACTACCCTGCTAATTAAATAACGCACACAAACCATAATGACCATAATAACGCCCTTGATCACGATAATAGACCGACCAACCGACGCGCGGCGCCGCCCTGTCCAGCCAATCAGCAGAGGTGTGCGTCTTCTCGAATTTCTCTTTGCCGATTCAAGTTTCGTTTCTCTCCATCTCTCTCTGGACGTGCGACGAGGACGGTTCTCGTGGGCGTGGCCGGCCCAGCAGTGTCCCGCCAGAGGGATCCGGGAGCAGCGGCGGGATATAATTTTAGTCAGGGGGTTTTATATTCGCAGCACAATACAGTCGGACTGTCCGAGTGTCAAAGAAAGTGGACGAACAGGAGGCGCGCTGTCTGGCTGGCCTCCTGTCTGTGCGTCTCAACAGCTGGCTGACCGTCAAACAGCGAATAAAAATGCACGTTTTCTTCTCTCCGAGAGATAGGGGAAACGTTTTCAGCATAAAATGTTTATGGCAGTGTATTTTATAATGATAACAATTTATTCCAATTTGTCTTGTTCCTTGTTAGCTGTTTTCTGTGGTTACACTACACTGGTAAAATAAAGGTGTTAAATCCCACCTTTAAAAGTGTTAAAAGAGAAGTGCCTTTACAAAGGCATTACAACTGCCAACGGCACAAATTTTTTCCACCCCATTAAGGATTCAAACTCAACATTTCTTTAGCACTCATGTAAAGGTTTACCACCATAGTTTTTCGAATGTAGTTTGTCACTTGATCTTCACTAGCAGAATAGTTTGAAAGAAAGGAAGCATACCGTGTATTACAATATTTGAGAAGTCTGTAAGCTTAAACCTTACAAATCGTTGTCTGGAAGGCCTGTCAGTATCCTACCATCTTATGTCAAATGAATTGCCACCCTGCTTTGATATGCACGCCGCAAGCGAGCATA